GCCAGGCTGTGGGCCGCGTGTCTGTCGCCAGTCATTATTTTCACTCGTGCTGACCGTGGGCGGTCCATCCTCGTCGTCCTCGTCTTGCTCCGAACAGCGTCATCCGAGCGCTCCGTTGCCGTGCAACCCTGGACGCTGGAGCGCTACCTTTGTAGCTCCCGTGGGTCGAGGTCATTCCCCCACACCCGCCCCTCTTTTTTATCCTCCTCTCCTCCTCCTCCTCTCCTTCTCTCCTCCTCTCCTCCGCCCTCCGCATCCCTGGGCGAAGCTGCGCGAGTTCGTCTTCTAGTAGAGGCCTGGTCAGACAACAATGCGTCGCCACCCGCGGAGGCCGTGGCGCGGGGTTTACCTGATAGGTTGTCCCGATGGTTGTCCCGATGGTTGTTATCATCATTGTCCCAATGGCTTTCCCAGTGGTTGTCCCGGCGGGTGTCCCGGTGTTTCTGCGCGACCACGATGGTGCAAAAGGCATGCGCTCTGCGAAGCCATCATACATAACAACGCCCCCTGCAGGGCCAGACTAACAGAACGCGTTGTGTGCGGTTCCACAGTTCCGAAACAGCAAGCCCTGCATGCCATGTGTATATATTACATGCACACTCAACAGCACCTGATATAACATCACAGACAAAAAACACTGTGCGGATCAAAACGTACAACATTTGCGCCCTGCCAGCAAACAGCACACGAACAATAATAAACAATTATGAATTCCGAGTTTCCCACACGAGGGTGTTGAATAGGTCGCGGGACCAAGGGGGGCATAGCAGCCGCAAAGCATGGACAGCCCAGCATGTTGAATTGCTGTTCCGTCGAGCCCCTAATGCTGAACGTCCTCCGTTTCCGCTCTTCCGCTCTCCTCGCCCGCATGCTGCATAACCGACCACGGGCGATTAAGAAGGTGCCCCCCTTTTCCCCTCTATGTTTTATCCCCGCCCACAAGAATTCATCTGTGGGGAAGGAGCGGAGACCGAACTTGAGAATCCACGGACAAGATGCGGGGATCGAATATGATATCATATCATGCTGATTAGCTACAGCACCAAAAACGCTGAGCATGGCCATGGTGGTCTCACCACACCTGCGTCCGCAATCACGAGCGTGTGGCAGGGTTGTGGGACTCTCACCAGTTCAGCTTGCCCACGTGACGACCGTGCGGCAGGGCCACGGGATGCACTACAAACATGGAGTAAACGTCAGAAAGACGTTTGGGTAGGGATCAGCACTCGCCGAGTGCTGATCCCTACCAAAATGGCCAATCCTCATCCTCCTGTTCCTCCTCCTCCTCCTCCTGCTCCGCCTCCTCTTGCTCCGCCTCCTCCTGCTCCTCCTTCTCTTGCTTCTCCTCCTCTTCCTCCTCTTCCTCCTCCTCTTCCTCCTTCTTTTCCCCCTTTGCCCCCGCAGCTGCCCAGGCCCAAGCATCCCCGAGCCTCCGAGACTTCAAGCTTTCGGGCCTCTTCGAGGCGCCGAGCCTCTTCGCCCCAGGGGCAGCGATAGGGGGGATAGGCATGCTTATGCATCGGCGATGTATCGCCGATGAGTAAGCATTTTCTGGGGGGGGAACATCGGCCTGGAATCTGCGAGACATCGCCGATGCATCGGGCGCGCATCGCCGATGCATCGGCGATGTATCGCCGATTTCAGGCCGATGCCCCCCCCCCATGAAAAAGCTTATCCCCTCACATCGTTGCCCCTGACTGCGTCGCGAGCCCCAGCGATGGCCCATCCGGCCGAGCGCGCAGCTGCCGCGAGCTTGCCCGTCGAGGCGTTCGCGCCGAGCCCGAGCTCGAACGAGATTCCCGAGCGCGTGGCCAACCAGAACGGGGATACCATCGAGAAACCGAGCTACATCGCAGAGAAAGTCAGCATTGCCGAGATGAGGCAACGCCAATCGAGCGCGCAAGGCACGGACGCAGCTCGCATGGCGAGCTGCTAATCCAAGGCCGAGTCGGCCCTGTGGTCGCCGGGCGCCCAGCAGGCCGCCCTGGAGATGGTCTACCAAGGCGGGCGCCGCAAGAGCATCGAGCACACCCGCATCTCCAACGAGGAGGACAAGAGGCGCATCGAGCTGGCCGTGGTGGTGCTCCTCAAGACCTACATCGAGAAGGACGAGCACGTGCGCGACACTTTCGAGAACCACGGAGAGCCGCCCGAGGACCTCTTCTGGCTCACGCCGAGCTTCAAGGCCAAGTTGGAGGAACCCGCCAAGAAGAGAGACATGGAGCCCGGCGCCGAGCGCATAAGGTCAGCCCCCCCAAGCATCCCCGCCGAGCTCCCCAACCCCCACGGGCTAGTGCTGCCGACCAACAAGAAGATCGAGACCGTCGAGCACTTGCGCGAGATGCCCGCCGAGAGTGCCCAGAGGCTCTTCAACGTGATTCCGCGCAGGGCCCGAGATTGCGTCAAGCGGCGCAACGAGACCTCCACGGCCTCGACGTCGAACGACGGGGTCGCCAAGGTAACGGCCCTAGCCATCAGCAAGCGGCGTTGGGACACCAAGAAAAAAAACCACATGAGCCACGAGCTGCACGAGCACTGCGACCTAGACAAGCGCGCCAACCGCCAAGCAGCAGGGGCACGAGGAAGCGCCGCTGGATAACCACATCAATATGCACTTCGAGAAGCATGCGTCGACCCAGGCCGAGCACGACAAGCTGAACGAGCGCGATGACGAGAGGAGCCAGGCCGACACGAAGGCCGAGTCAGACCCCGCCTAGCTCATCATGTTCGTGGACGTCTGAGCGCACGAGCTCCGAGCCAAGCGCCCCGTGTTTTTTTGCTGCGAGGGTGCCGTTTCGAGGCGCACGCTCGAGCCCCATCTGCTTGTCAAGCTCCAATAGAGCGCTCGAGCACGCGCGAGTGGCGTTCCAAGCTGCGGGGCGCGACCCCCGCCCCCCCCCCCCCCCTTCTCGCCGAGTGGTCCTCGATCAATCACCAAGATATCCAGCGGGCTCGATCCTGCATCCTCGGACCGATGATCCGAGATCTTGAGTCCGAGCATATTCGGGCACCTTGGGTCCTAGATCCGAGGGTCGCCAAGCTTGGACCCGAAGTTCTTGGGTTCGCGATCTGAGGACCGAGGATCGACCCTCGGCGACCCTCGATCGTCACATTGCCACCAAGCAGGCTCGATCCTCCATCCGCGGGCCGAGGATCCGAGATCTTGAGTCCGAGCACATTCGAGCACCTGGGGTCCTAGATCCGGGGGTCGCCATGCTGGGGCTCGACGATCTCGGGTTCGAATTCCGAGGCTCGAGGACCGAGCAGATCGCCCTCGCCGCCGCCCTCGGGCCCGCGCTGCCACCAAGCAGGCTCGACCCTCCATCTTCGGAACGAGGGTCCGAGATCTTGGTCTCGAGCATCTGCGAACACCTCGGATCCTAGATCCGAGGGTCGCCAAGCTTGGACTGGAAGATCTCGGGCTCGACTTCCGAGGCTCGAGGACGGAGCCTCGGCGATGGTAGATCGCCCTCGCCGCCGCCCTCGAGCCCACACTGCCACCAAGCAGGCTCGACCCTCCAGCCTCGGATCGAGGGTCCGAGATCGTGAGGTCGAGCATCTGCGAGCACTTCGGATCCTAGACCCGAGGGCCGCCAAGCTTGGGCTGGAAGATCTCGGGCTCGACTTCCGAGGCTCGAGGACCGAGCCTCGGCGACGGCAGATCGCGGGGGGCCCCCCCCCCCCCCCCCCCGCCGCCCTCGGGCCCGCGCTGCCACCGAGCAGGCTCGACCCTCCAGCCTCGGATCGAGGGCCCGAGATCTTGGTCTTGAGCATCGGCGAGCACCTCGGATCCTAGATCCGAGGGTCGCCAAGCTTGGATTGGAAGATCTCGGGTTCGACATCCGATGCTCGAGGACAGAGCCTCGGCGATGGTAGATCGCCCTCGCCGCCGCCCTCGAGCCCACACTGCCACCAAGCAGGCTCGACCCTCAATCCTCGGATCAAGGGTCCGTGATCGTGAGTCCGAGCATCTGCGAGCTCTTCGGATCCTAGATCCGAGATCTTGGCGTTGAGCATCTGCGAGCACCTCGGCTCCTAGATCCGAGGGTCGCCAAGCTTGGATTGGAAGATCTCGGGTTCGACTTCCCGGGCTCGAGGACCGAGCCTGGCGCTCCTCTGCCCGCCCTCGTGCCCGCGCTGCCACCGAGCAGGCTCGACCCTCCATCCTCGGATCGAAGATCCGAGATCTTGGTCTTGAGCATCTGCGAGCACCTCGGATCCTAGATCCGATGCTGGCCGCCATGCTTGGGCTGGAAGATATCGGGTTCGACTTCCGAGGCTCGAGGACCGAGCCTAGTGCTTCTCTGGTCGTCCTCGGGCCCGCACTGCCACCGAGCAGGCTCGACCCTCCATCCTCGGATCGAGGCTCCGAGATCTTGGTCTTGAGCATCTGCGAGCACCTCGGATCGTAGACCCGAGGATTGCCAACGCGCGCGCACGCGCGCGCACGCACGCACGCAGACACACCAACGCGCACACACACACACACCAACGCGCGCACACACACACACGCGCACGCACACACACACACACACACGCATACGCATACGCATACACACACACACACCAACGCGCGCACACACACACACACACACACACACGCGCACGCACACACACACACACACACGCATACGCATACGCACACACACATTCACACACACACACACACACACACACTCACACACACACACAAGAGCACAGACACAAACAACAGCAGCAACGACAGCAACAGCAAACAACAACACAGCAACAACAGCAGGGCAGAACAGCATCAAGACAAACAGCAGGGATAACAAACAACAGCTGCACACCCGCGCGCTCGCAAACTGCAGCAAGACAAACAAGAAAAACAAATGCAACCAGACGAGCAAGACCAGCAGCAGGACAAACAACACGATCAACAAACAACCGTGGCCAATTTAGGCTCAAGCACTCCGAGCCAGCTGAAGACGCAGCGCACCATGGCCGAGACGCAGCGCCCCATGGCCGAGCCGGACAGC